TAGCTAATATATCCTAGCATCAAGTTGATTCTAAAGATGTGTGCACGGCTTCCAAGGCCAGGATGACAAGCGTGACCATTTCGTCTGACCTCCTGTGTAGCACAAACCTTAGAATGTACCCAAAATAATTCTGAGTGCAAATCTTTTAGAAAAAACTCCTATCTTGATTTTAAAATTGTGAGTTACTGGGAATTCACAAGTCTTGGTAAATTGTTCCAATGGCTAATTAGTCTCGGTGATAAATTTACACCTTATTTCCTGCAGGCTTCTTTCGGAAGAAGCTTTTCTGGAAGAGCTTCCAAAAAAACTTCTTCCAAAAGAGAGCGTCCACATACAAAAGCGCATCGAAAAAGCGATCTGCTTTTTCGAAAGATAGTGTCCACACTGAATGGAGGCTATCTCGCATTTAAGTTGTGATTACTATAGACGGAGTGGCCAGCAGAGCACCTGTGCTTTTTCCTTTCTTCTTCTTTCGAAAGAACTCCCTCTTCCCCATCCATACATGCCTTTTTCCGAAAGAGCTCTTTCAGAAAAAGGGTTCTTCCTTGTTGAAAGAGGATTACCAATGCCGGAAAAACCTCTGTTCTTTTGATTTACTTTAGGAAGAATGCGATTGCAATGTGGATGTAACTCAGGTTTTGTCAGAAAAATGGCCGTTTTTCCGACAAAACTCTGTAGTGTAGACATACCCTGAATGTGTCTAGCTTCAAATTCCACCCAATGGATAGTATTAGACCTTTCTCTGTTAGACTGAAGAGCCCATTACTAAATAGTTGGTCCCTAGGCAGATACTCAGCCTAATCAAGTCACCTCTTAATCTTCTCTTTAAGCTAAATAGATGCAGCTCTTTGAGTCTACACTCTAAAGCATGTTTTCTGTTCCTTTAATCATTCTTGGGGCTTTTCTCTGAACTCACTCCAATTTACCAGCAACCTTCACCACTTGTGGTCATCAGAACTGGCCACAGCATTCAGACCAGTGCCAAATACAGAGGAGGAATCACCTTTCTGCTTCTACTCAAGATTCCTGTTTAGGTACCCAAGGATGGCATTTGCTCTTTAAGCCACAGCATCACCCTTGGAACTCATGGTCAACTGATTATCTACAATGGCTCCACTAAATCTTTTTCACAGTGGCTGCTTGCCAGGATAGTATCTCCCATATTCCTCTAGGTGCTGCTGTAGTAGATGTGTGCGTGTGAATCTCATGAGACAAGTTGGGTGTTTACACAATGTTATGTATAAAGATCCATCCCTTTCATCAGGTCTTTGCCTGAATTTAGGATGGAGGAAAGGGAGGCACCAATAACATTGACTAGAAGGAAGAATGGCTGAGTCAGGTACGATGGACTTTTGTGAGAGAGGGTGTAGAGGGATAGTGAAGAAAAAGCATCTAGTGAGGGTAACTAGCCAGAAGAGCACAAGTGTGAGCAAGGGTCAGAGGGAATAGGAGGGGAGGAGGATGACATATTAGGAGAGAGGAGCCTGCCTATTAACTTTGTACAGGTGAATGATTTTAATGACACTTTGGGAAGGAAGAATGAGCTTTCCCTTAAGGAACTGGGTTTGAGTTGTATTTACCTTGCTGAAAACGTGGCAACCCTAAAAGCCTATGAATATGCATACAAGTTTCCCCCTTTGCTAGGCTAGGTCTGTCTTTTGTAAAAGGTGGATATGTTGTAGGAATACAGGAAGATCCCATTAGAAAAAAAACTGTGTATAAGGCAATGTGAAAGGCCTTGGTTCCTTAGAGGGTAAGTAGTGCACGTTACCAGACAGTCACTGCAAGAAAAACTGAACATTATAGGAAGGAGACAAATGATGCCATCTTTTCTCTATTAATAGAGCTTGGTTTGGGGCCATTCAGGCTACATCTAAACTACAATGCTCTTTTGGGATCTCAGAGTACCCCGAAATAGCTATCCTGTATCTTAACTGCAAGCTCATTATTTCCGGCTCGCTATTCCGACGTCCCTGTAAACCTCTCCATGAGGAGTAAGGGATGTTTCGAAACAGTGGGTTATTTCAAAATTTGGCACTGCGTAAACAGCGCCAAATTACAAAATAAGCTATTTCAAAATAAGATATGGAATTTGCGTAGCTCAAATTGTGTATCTTTTTTCAAACAGTGCAGCATTGACAGCCTCACAGAGCAACATGCTGTGAATTATCCTAGCCTGATTTCACATTAGAACCAGTCATTTCTTACCCGCACCCTCTTATTAGTCAAGAGTACAGCTGACATGTTGTAGCCATCTTCTGTACGTCAGGACCTGGGTGACCTTGTTACGCCTTACACCCTTGTTCTCTCTCAGCCATTCAAATAAAGGCAGAATAATTTCAATATTGAGTTTTTTCCTCTTTAATACCATGCCCTCAGAAAGGCAGTGTTCTTTCAGTAACGAGCTTCCGCACCCAACTCCTCACTGGTACCTCAAAGACAGCTAGAACTGCACCTGATTTATCGGTGTCTATGAATCAAATGTACTGCCAGTCATTCTTAAATAACTTATCTAATACCATTAAAATGAGCAAGAGACTACCACTGCATGACTTAGTGGAAGTGGGAATTTCTATTGTCCAGATAGGGTTGGGGCTAGGGCAAGCTGTAGATAAAACATGCAATAGATCATTCTGCTAGGAGAGTGGTTTTTGTGGACAGTAAATAGGGCAGAGAACTGTTCTCCATAAGTTGTGAGAGGAGTCACTTAATACCTTTTGAGAAATACTGAACAGGGAAAATGAAAGACTTTAGCCTGGGAGAGAAACTTGATTTTGCCCAGTTGGCTTTTACCTTTAATGCTGTGTAATATGAACTGGGCCTTGACTACCAAAGCCTTCTGTAGCGTTCAACTAGCCAAAGGTATTTTGCGTCTAGCCCTGTTTGTGGTTTTCTTTTTATAATTTGTCAATACATTTTGGTTTTGTTTAAGGCAAGGGTAAGTGACCCTGTTGCCACCCTGCCACTCCCTCACCCCCCAGGCCAATCGAGACCTGGGGAAGAGGAAGCACACAAAGTCTCTATAAAAGTACACAGGTCTATAAAATCATGAGTGGTGTGGAGAGGGCTGATAAAGAAAAGTTATTTATTAGTTCCCATAATAGAAGAACTAGAGGACACCAAATGAAATTAATGGGTAGCAGGTTTAAAACTAATAAAAGGAAGTTCTTCTTCACACAGCGTGTTGTCAACCTGTGGAACTCCTTGCCAGAGGAGGCTGTGAAGGCTAGGACTATAATAGAGTTTAAAGAGAAGCTGGATAAATTCATGGAGGTTAGGTCCATAAAAGGCTATTAGCCAGGGGATAAAATGGTGTCCTTGGCCTCTGTTTGTCAGAGGCTGGAGAGGGATGGCAGGAGACAAATCGCTTGATCATTGTCTTCGGTCCACCCTCTCTGGGGCACCTGGTGCTGGCCACTGTTGGCAGACAGGATACTGGGCTAGATGGACCTTTGGTCTGACCCAGTACGGCCGTTCTTATGTTCTCCACCCATCCCTCGTTTCCTGCTCCTGCTCTGCCAGGGGCATGCAGTGCCTAGAGTGAACCACCAGCTATTTTGAACAGCTGGCAATTCTCTCTACGTGCCTGGAGGTTGGGGGCAGAGACTTCATGCACCCCTGCTCCCCCAGACCAATCAGGGTCTATGGGCAGTTAATCAAAGGAAGTGTCCTGGTCCCACCCCCTCTAAGGCCCCGCCCCTTCTGGGGGCAGCCCAAGGCCCCTTTACAAATTTGTGAAGTGGCCTCTGTGACGTAGTGGGGGTACTTGCTGGGATGTGGTGACCCCTGCTGTCTGGAGCAAGACCCAGCAGAGAAAGCCTCACTAGGCAGAGGTAAGGCCAAACTTGTTGAACCAGTGGCCAGACACCCCCCCATGGAGAGGAACAAAGGAAGGTGGAATGCTGCCCTGGCTTGGGGGGCAGGGCTGGAGGAGGCTGGGTTAGTTCCTCGCTGGAAGGCAGGGTATAAGGAGCTGGGGGAGGGGGCTGGGACTCCCCTATCTAAAAGGGGGGGGCACTGAGGCCTCTTAGCCCCAGTTCCTGTAACCAGATTACATCTGTGCTGCGCTGTGCTGGAGGAGCAATAAACCACCCTCAATTCCACTGGCTGGTGCAGTCTGTTTGTGCCATTTCGGGGTGCAGGAGACGGGGAACCCCCAACGCGCCATCACAGCCTCCCTTTTAAAATTCTTGCCAACCCGAGTTTAAGAGCAAATACTAATAGAGTGGGGCAAATCACTACTACAGGGATGGGGAAGCTAAGGCCTGGAGGCTGGATGCAGCCCCTAGCTTGCCTGGATCTGGCCCCTGAGGGTTGGGGCTACCCTCCCAGCACTGAGGAGCCTGTGCCGGCGCTCCAGCCTCCCCCGCCCCTGCCATCCTCCGGCAGGGCTTGAGCACACAAATATTCTAGCCTGGGCAGTGGGGAGCGTCTTTCTGTTCCTCAGTCAGGAGGCCACGTCAGTGACTAATAACTAAGTCCTATTCACAGAACAACTACAGTACATCCCTACTTGAAAGTGACAGTGCAAGGTTGCACGGAGTGTACTCCACTAGTCAATGATGGAGCATTTCTTTAGGAGTTAGGGTAGGATGAAATAGTCAAATAGACCCAGTTAGACATGAAGTAGCTACAAAGTTTTCAGTAGTTGATGTGTTTTAAAAGATCTTCATAGTTCTTACTGACATGTCAGCCTCCCCCCTGCCCCCAAAAGTTCATAAATTGGAAAGGCCAATCACATTTTTAAATAGTGTTGATGTTCCACCTAAATCAAGATATGTGGACATTCAAGACTGCTATAGGCCTGAATCTTCCTGTAACAATTATTTACTTGTGCAAAGTGCTGCTGCAGAAACAACTGTGGCTGGAAAAAGAGATGAAGGGCAGAAGTTGAGTGACTATTTCTGCTTTTTTTTCCCTTCCTCAATCCAATGTGGAGTTCCCAAGTTCAGGAATAAAGCTTTCAGAACACTTAATACCAAGGAATTTGAAACATTAGGTAAATATTCAGTGACAATTTTATTATCTGATCTTTTATCAGTTTACAAAAAAAGCAGGTATCAAAAAACAGCAAAGACTTTCACAAGTTCCTCACCAGTTTTACACAGCTGAACTGGTATAAAATGTGAATGCAAGACACAGGTTGGCTTTGCTCCTGGTCATACACATTCAAGGTTATCCCTGGGGTGGGATGCACTGGGCCTTCGGAAAATTTAAAAAAGCACCTGTGTTGTTTTGGGGACTTGACTTGATTCATCCAAGTCACTTTGTACTGAAATATAACACGGAATGTGTACCTGTTGGGATCAGAAATTACTCTTCTGGATCCCATGTACCTGAACAAGGATCAAGCAGCTTTGCAATGAACACATTAGGCCCCAGTTTGCATTTCTCAGATTACCAAAAGGCAGCTCTTATATTGCGATAGCTACAATCACTTTCTCCTCAGCCCCAATAGGTTACAATGGGATTTAACTATACAGCCCCTTCTACCTTTCCTCATCAAAATATCAAGTCCAAAATAGGAAAGCTTCACTTCATCCTTACATGCGTCATATGACTGTGTTGTGATGCCTTAGAGTTTAGACAATTCTACAGCATAAACTCTCCCATTGGGGACTTGAATGATCGAAGTAAACCAAGATAAACCGTAAATGTGACATAGGAAAAAAATATTCAACTCACTGGATGGATATTCTGATTTTTGAGCCAAAACTTGCTCTTCTACCATATTTGCTGCTGTGGGGTTCAGAGTTTGACCAGGAGAAGCACGGTCCAGTTTCCATTAATAGCTGCACCATCTTCTCGAACATACAGCTTACAATGAACACTGCCTGGTTAGCCAAAGAATTAAGACACTGCCCTGAGTCCCTCAGCAACTGCTTGGAAAGTCAGGTCAAAATCTGCCATGATTATACATGAATGCAAGTCATCCTAAACAAAGACTTCTGTATGTGTCACTGAAATCTTTTGAGTACACCAAATACTCCTATTAGAAATAAAATGGCATCTCTTGTTACCCAAACAACAACAGGAAATCAGATATGTATATTTTGTCAGATATGAAAGAGGAAGCAAGAAGGCAAGCTGAGACACAGACCCTACCCCCAGGGCAGCAGTGGCATTTGGTTGTTTTGGTCATTGTACCAGCATTTTGCACACCCACAGCAAGCAGTCACTGGCTGTTGGACTTAAACCGTTTTTCTGGCAGTCAAGACACGGACAATGGACCCTACACCTCCAGCAGCGAGAGCCTGGAGGGAGAGAGGAGGAGGAAAGAAAAAAAAGAGAAGTAATAGTTAATACAAGCCATGATAACCACAGATGGAAACAGTTACTACCTGGACTTCAGTGAGTTTCATCTGAACACTGCAGTGTGCTCTATAGATACTAAAGATCAGCTTTCTTCAATCAGGAAGCATTACTATATTCATTTTATATAGGGAAATGGACCGAAGCATTAGATAATTTGCATAAGTCAGTCACTGGGGGTATTAGGAGTCTTGGGTTCTATTCCTAGCTACGTCCCCTGTTTTAACCTTTAGATTAGTGTGCTCTTGTACGGAGACAGTATAGCTTTTAGGAAATGTACAATGGATCATTTTCATTCGTATCTAATACACAATAAAACTTCATCTCTAGAGTTTATGTGAATCAATATATAATAGGAAGTGTGCATTAATTTCACATGGTTCTCTAGGGTACCATGTCCTTTCCACCCCAACTGTTGTAATATGAATAATAGACTTAAGGGAAAGAAGGATGATTCCTATTGGACTCAAGACAGAATCCTGGATGCCAGAGTCTCTGTCCATGCAATTATCCAGCCAAAAGCAACAGACTTCACACACCTTTTCATGCCACTGCAATAACACAGCACTGCTGTTGTCAGAGGGGCTCTCAAACCCCTTGTAGATGTATTTCATTAGCAGATCAACTCCATTCTTGTCCAGAGACTGTACTGCCTTTTCAATATCATTGGCTTTGAATGAGATGAGGACTTTTAGGACGATGCTTTCTGCACGATCCTGTAAACAAGGGGAAAAGTCATAACTTGGAATAACATGACAGACAGCCAAATGTTAATGATCTCCCAGGAGGTAAAGCTTTATTCTTAATTCAAAAAGCCAAGGCAGCTCGAACACATACCAAGTTGTCAAGCATACTGTTCAACAGACATTCACCTCTTCCCTACGACAGTATGACCTCCATGGACTTTGCTATAGCCATTTAATTCTAAATAAATTTCAATTTACAGTTAACATATGCAATTAATTTGAAATCAAGTTTTAGATAAATTAAAGGGCAGCACATCGCCACTGAGGTGAAAGAAGCTAGTCTCAAACAAGAGACTCATTCTCGTCACTGCATTTGTAACAAGTTTGTTCTAGGTTTCTATCTTTGCTTATTAAGACTAGCTTTTGTTTGCAGGACTCCACCCATAGCACAAGGGTGGTACTGAACTTTCTCTCTTGACTGGACAGTTCAAAAGTCGTCGGAAATTACAGGTCTGATTGGCTTCCCTCTCACCAACTAAGCAACCTCTTATTTTTACATTGTCTAGATGGACAGCACTTCTGTGGGCCAAAAGAGATCTTAAAGGAGAAGTATTTCTACTGAGCACTGAGTTCTGTTCAGCTGAGATCTATTTTTACTCTGCATTATCTTTCTCTTCCCTCACTGAGTACTGTATTATAACTAAGGAAGTTAAAATGTGTTTATTTAGGTAAATGTATAACCTCTGAACACTTCAGCAGTTACATGCAGGGGGAGGTGGCTGCCATCTGGACCCCTCTTCCCTCCTCCCTGCCAGAGAGGAAGCAGCACCAGGCCTGGGGTGAGGGGAAGCATGGAGGGGAAGTTGGCTCCCTGGGAGCTGGTACGCATGGGAAGCCAGCTTAAAAATTCCTTGTTAGCTAGAACTATGGACTGGACACAGCCAGTCAGTGCTTACTAGTCTGAGGTGATTTTTTTGGTAAGTTCACGGGCCATGTATCGCTTTAAGTCCAAGATACGTTACAAAAAAACCTTGGATTTATAGCAAAACAACTTGAAGCAGGGAATTCCCCCTCCCCCCCAGCTGACTTTCATTTGTGCATTTTTTTTTTTGCACAACTGAAGAGCGGGGAAATGAGAGGACTAATCATGCCTCTGTTCCTACAAGCTTAAATGACTTTAGTGCAGAATGGATGTGTATGAGGGATGCCCTGTACTTGGGCTGAGTATACAGGAAGAGCTTAATCACCTCAGAGAGGAACAGTGAGCAATCTGTAGAAGTCTTAGGGAATTAGGAAAGAATTTACAGCATGGCACATGAATGTGAGTTATTAACTACTTCACCTTTACTGCTTGGTTCTTGGTATTGATTGGAGGATTCTTTAGGGCTGCCTGCAATGCAGCCATCATGTTTCCTGTAAACATGAGTTAAGGAAAGATGGGGAAACAAGGACATAGAAAGCAGCAGAGATAGTCACAATAGAGTGGGATTCACAAGTAACCTGTTTCTTACTGGGAATATCAAGCATGGATTTGTGGAGAGAATATTTTCCATACTGTTGCACCTACTGAAGTGTTCAATGTAGCAAGTATTACCCAGTCATTTAAAGCAATGGGACCAATACTAAGGTGGTACAGTTGTCAGCATCAAAGTGCACCAAATCACACAACAAAGATCCAAATATAAATAATTCTAAGTTGACCCCTTTTATCTTCAAACTCCACACAGATTGGCAAAATATCATGCAACAAGTTATAACATGGCTGTTTGACACACACACACACACAAAAAGAAGAAGATGTGATTGCTGAAACAAGCTGGTGAATGAGAACATACTTTGTACATACATCGGAAAAATATCATCAGTTAGGGCCTCAGATTGAACATCAACAGGAAAGGAAAGGTCAATCTATCAGTCAATTCATCACACTGTAGTTGGTTATGATTCAGAAGAGTTTTCTATTAAGATTCTTATACTGCATCATCTAGAAACCTCCCAGTAGTGCATTAAGTGACACAACTAATGGGTATCACCAGGGCTCGCCGAACTACGGGGAGCCCTGCTTGCCAGCTGCGCTGTCTGGTGATCTGTGCATGGGCCTTCCAGGTTACAGTCTACTCACCATGGGCGAGTAGATTGTATTATTTGTCGAGCCCTGGGTATCAGAGGGGAGTACTCAACTTTGGAAGCCCCAGGAGCCACATTGATACATACAGCACATGCTAAGGGCTGCAACTTAAGTGTGGTTGCATATACATGCAAATTTATATGCAAATAGCTTCTTTCACACTGACGGGCATGAATACAAAGATTAAGGCAAGACTACATAACACGCAGGTCCCATTTAAGTCAGTTCAGGTGAATATTGCATTTTATTAATATCAGCAGATTTTCACCCATACGACAGCACTTTTAATGAACAATGAGAGTCCAGGAATTTAACTACTAACACATATCAACAAAAGACCATTATATGGAGTTGCTGTTGTGGAGCATGTTCCTAATGGAAGCCCTGTTCAAAGGACCCGCAACGCTGAGCGCAAACAAACGGGCTGCATGCAGCCTACGGGGCGTGTGCCTTGAGTAGCCCTGTTATAGAACAATGAGATCCCAAGACTGCCTCCATTATTGTCATGAACTAGAACAAAACATGCTCTAGAAACACAGCTAATTCAGGCTTCCGGCAGATTGTACAGAAAAGGATACTAAGCAGCTCCCATTTGAATTTTCTTAAAGGGTCTTATGGTTTTGAGCAAACATTTCCCTTTTGTTTTTTTTCCCCTCCAGGTTTTTCCCCTCACCTCAAATTTGAAACCATAAAACCCACTTACAAGCTAACCTTATCAAGTGCAGCCTCACCCAGAAAGGGCACATCTGAAGCTAAAGGCACTAATATGTGGAAGTAAAAAGCAACCAGATTATCACAGACTAGGTGCAATTATTCCCATAAAAGGAAAACTTCACAGAGAGCACACTTCCTCCAACTCTGCAGTGCAAGAGGGGTTTGGGGGCAGGGCTCTTTCGCTGGCCCTCCCTCCTGCTCTCGTGAGGTCAGACAGGACCACATCCTCCAGCGCATGCATGCCCATGAAAACTGGGAACCAAAGAGCTGGCGGATATGAACTTACATACAGGTCTAACGGTCTCTCTGGGCAGCAGGGCGCTCACCCCAGGGCCTAGACACAGGCAGGCCGGGGAATTGAAGGCTGTTTGTAACAAGTTGCAGGGCCCTCCCTCCTGCTCTCGTGAGGTCAGACAGGACCACATCCTCCAGCGCATGCATGCCCATGAAAACTGGGAACCAAAGAGCTGGCGGATATGAACTTACATACAGGTCTAACGGTCTCTCTGGGCAGCAGGGCGCTCACCCCAGGGCCTAGACACAGGCAGGCCGGGGAATTGAAGGCTGTTTGTAACAAGTTGCAG